ATAAAAACAAAATATATCTTCGTAATAATAATAATAATAATCGAACGTTTCCCAACGAAACGAATCTTTGGATTTGATTCATAAGTACGTATTGAACTTGATCTCATCGCTAAGCGTTGCAACGCAACGAAGGAGCATCGAACGTTTTAATCGAATCGATAAAGAGGGAAAGCGAGGGAGAATTGTTGGATTGTGACATTGATCGATCCTCCACTTCGCGAAACGAATCGATCCTTTTAATCGTATTTTCAACTATCCCTAATTGGAATTAATTTCGTATTTGTGACGATATAAATATCTCTAATAAAACGGATTAATTAAAGGAATTTACTATTAATGAATATTCAATTAACGATCGTACGCCTGAAGTTGTAAGAACTAATGTTTTTTGTCATTCTCAATGATTGTAAAAAATTGATTCGTGAATAAGCTTCGTAAAAAAAAAAAAAAAAAGAAGAGAAGAAAAAGAAAGAAAATAACGCAAAATTTACAGAACGGTTTCACGGACGAAACTCGATTATTGAAAGAAATTGGCTTTAAAGTTGAACGAGGGTACGAGTGCCGATCAATTGGAACAACGGAAAACGTCGAATATTCTATAATTTGTTTTGATTCTGGGCAGCTGGTGACGTCACACCCGACCAATGTCGAATAAATTGCGGAGTGGACGATAAGAGGTTCGGCTCGTAGCGGAACAAGAACGTACACGTAACATTTCCTACTATCAGTTGCATTAATTTGCACGATATTTGAGAAAGCTCCTGTATCGAAACGCGATACGCGCGTTCACACTTGTAAGAGGGTTGTAACGCGATACGAATCTGCAGCAATCTATTAGATTTCTTTCGATTGCATTCGAAAGTGGATCAGAAGCACAGGTATGCGCACGTATGTATATATATATATTTATATATTTGAACCAGTTTATTTATTTATTTATTTTTTTTTATATATATATATAATTAGCCGATAAATAACAATTCAAGAGAGATACATATTTCGCGCAACTTCAATTGGAAAATTATGATCAGTCCGTTGAATAACGATGATATATATTTAAAACTAAATACGTATTTGGTAAATTTTATCCGATACTTTCGATAAAGTTCAACAATAATCGTGGACGATGTACCAGGAGGATAATAATTATTGCGTAACGTTGAAATAATAATACGCGCGAAAGTATACATAGATTTGATCACGAGCGTGTTTCTCGTGCTAACTATTTATAGTTGTTCCTCGGTAAAAACACAACGTGACATATTTTTCCGTTACATGTGGGACGGAGTTGAAATATTCGACGAATATTTTTGGAATATTTATTTGGAATTTTTTTTTCTTTTAAACGGTCGATAAAAAAGATTTAATAATACGGTCATTGAATAAAGATAAAGATAAAGAGGTTCGACTCTATGGAACATTTGTCTCTGGAAATTGCCTCTGTCTGTGCAAATAAAAGAAACGTTTGACGAAGGATATAATTGAAGAAAGGAGATATAAAAGTGTGTGATAATGATTTTTTTTTTTCTTTTTCATATTTTATAAGAGAAATTTACTAAGGGGAAGAAGATCGTTTTGTTGTTGTTGATTGTGAAATGTAAAATTTTTGACGACAACTTTGACATTGTTTAACACAGTGTGCATTACAATTATCAAAATAATTATAATTAGATGTGTAATAGAATAGATATAGGATATACTCGTAATTAGATTCCCCTTTCAAGCACAATTTAAGTAATCTTATTCCATATTAATAATGAAAACAGAAATACTTAACGCAAGTTTCATCAAAGCTAACTATATAACCACCGGCATAATCGTAATAGTTTCAAACGCTTTTTCTATATTTTATAATTTAAGGAGAAATAATTAAAATAAAAATCGAATCAAAAGTTGGAACTTCAAACCGTGGAAAAATTCCAAACGATTCTTACTCCACTACCACTGCCGCTATTTTTATCTCTAATTTTCCTATAAACGAATATGATTAAACAATTCTTGAGACGATCATATCTTACATGGAAATTGAGTGATCTAATGATAAATGAAGAAATTTTAAATTACATTGAATATTTTTACGTAATGAAATTAAACATTCAATAAATTAATAGTTAGTAAAAATTATTGTTACTTATTGTTAAGCTTTATACAATTATCCAAACAAATTTATTACTATTATTCCTATCATTAATCCATTATCGATCATTTTAACCTGAAATTTAAAATATCCAATTTACCAAGAATTTATTATTATTCGTAACACGTCTCCAATAATATCAACCGTGCAAGAAAGCTCTAAATAAATTACAATGCATTCTATAAAGATCTTTATCCGAGGGGTTGGCTGCTCAAAGGAAAATCACTCGAGTGATCTCAACGTTCACGTTTTGATTTCACAATAATTTTACAGCGAGTTCGTTGAAAAGGCAGAAATTTTTCTCTCTGCTAATTATTTTTTTTTCTCCCGCCGAAAAAAAACCAAAGAAAAAATAATACTATCCTGCAAAACGCACACCCTCCACGCATCCTCGATGATTCGATCGGCGATTTTAATTATAAATCCGGGCTTCTAAACCAAATATCTAAAGTTATTCCAAATCTCACTGAAATTCCACTCATTTCCCGACACCGACATTTACAATTTCACACCGATATCGTTGAGAGTCACTCCTGTGATTTCAACCCCTCGCCACCACCCCCAGGTACGCGCAGGTGGTTCAAAGTAAACAGGAAGAAGCGTGGAAGCGAAGGCGTGTTGGTAAGCGCGCCACTCACCGACTTTCCGCCAGCCGATCCTTTCGCCGATGCCCCTTCCAGAGGGCCGATCACCGGAATACACTCGCGGGGACACGCCACGATCCGATATTGCGCACCGGCACGTACCGGCACGGAAACGGCCGATCTCTGCCGAAACACCGAATCACACTTTTTCGCAGGATCTTCAACACTGTCGTCCTTTCCCCAGGAGCGAGAGAGAGAGAGAGAGAAGGCGGATAGATAGGACGAGAGAGAGAGAGAGAGAGAATGGACGAGAGAGCGTGGCGAGAAACGATGACCACGCGCGTGACCGTGCGTGCGTCCGGCGTAAAAATGAGGAGGACGGGCGTCGCACAGCACGACCGCTGGTACAAGGGCGTCGAAGGTCGCAGCTGCGCGCCGAGGCGGCATGCAGGTGCGTCCCTCTTTTGCGATACAAGCGCGCGATTTGGAAACGCGGTGCTACGCCAATCGTTCGAGATGCCGCCCGTGTCAAGCGATTCGGAGGGGAGGGGATTGCGAATGGATCAAGCGACGATGGATTAGCGATAGTTCAGAGATGGATGGTTGGTCGATTTTTCCTAGATTATGCAACGTCGAATAATACGGGGATGGATATGGGTGGTATCGATATAATCCGTTTTCAATCCTAATTAAATGTACGTAAATAATGTTGCGAAAATTGTTCTCGAATAAAAATGATCGTGACGATCATTCTGGAAGATCACGGTTAACGCGAAGGGAGAAACTTTATAGGGAGGGATTGTATAAGATAAAATTTGATAAAATTTTCCGGTTGTGTGTTGTGTTTTCAATTATTTAGAATGTTTGTTATTGTTCCCGTCTTCGTTTAATAACCTTTTAAATATTTCATGCGATACGAGTAGGTAAAATGGAGAATAAAATTTATTCAAATTTATTCGCCGTAATTTAAAAGATTTTTTGTCGTTTATTATTAATTTTATTAATAGTGTAAATATATTGGAATTATTGATTAAAATTTTCTTTTCGTTGATTTGATTCACGTTTATTTCGTGTATTTCGTATAATAGAAATAAATGAACATAAATGAAGAATTTTATTTTTCTAAAATTTGTATGGGAAAAAGATTTGTCAAAAATTTACCATTCATTGTATTATTGATCATAAGATTTCAGTTTTTGTTACTTCTAATTGTAAGTACGTACATATCTCGTAGCACGAGAAAGGAGGCAGCACTAGATGGACTCCAATTAAAAGCTCCCCCGGTTCATTTGAAACAAGCTATACTATGATACAGCTACTATATGATACACGTGCACAATGATGATGAACAAGCAAAAAATAAAACAGCCAGCAAATGTAGATGTAGAACAGTTGGAGATGGGACGTCGTGCGCGAACGTAAAATATTTCTCAAGCTAATCTTTAAACGTAATTTAAAAATGAAACGATGTGAGCATTCCTTTAATGTAATTCAATTCTATTCAATGTATCGAAAAATGTGACGAATGTGTTTAACGTGGAAAAATGATTCTACGCTTGAAAACTATTTTGTAAATAAATAATTGCAAAATCGCGAATAATAACATAGAATCGCTAGGAATCCGTCGATTTCAAATCGAGCAACGATAAATCGAATACAATTTTAATTAATTTTGTTAAATTTTTCAATCTGGAAATGTGCACAATGTGTGGTATAACATTTTCGATCGTGTAACGGAAATTAAGACGCGATAATCAACGATATTGAGTTAATATTTAAATCAAACGCATCAAAAGTAATCTCTCAACCGTTTTAACCTCTACTTTCTCCTTATCCAATATTATTACATATTACATATTAGATTATCGTTTGTACGAAAAGATTATTCGCGTAACATTTGAGTGATGATCGAGCGAAATTCGAATTTTTCTGTGAACTGTTCTAAATACATACTTACGGGCCTGCGCAATACACGCTATCGAGAGATTCGCCACGAGAGGCGCGGCGTCGCGACGCTGGCATGTGCCGCAGATTATGCCGCATTGCCACAAGCGTACGGCACCGGTCGGTCGACGATCGTGTCGTCGGGAAAAAGGTCGAAAAAATTCAACGTAATGAGCCGATCGCGACCAGGTTAAACGCGAAACGTCTTCACGATGCGCCGTCGCGGACGTCGTCGACGATACAACTGGTGAGAAACGTATATATCGAACGACAACGCAACGACGAAGAATATTCCAAAAGAGTTGAAAAAAAAAAAAAAAAAAAGAAAAAGAAAAGAAAAGAAAAGAAAGCAAAAGGATCGCGTTCTCAATAGATAATAAATAATTATCGACTTACCTAAGATAGAAGTAGCCTTCGGGATCATGAATATCCGACGGCTTCCTGGTTTCATGTACCACTACAAGGTGATCACTCTGTTCCTCTTCACGACCATACTTTTTGTCATCTATCTACTCCTTCACTGGGGTATTATGTGCACGAATCTCGAGGCCTGGCGACACGTATCCAACGTGGTGAGTGAAAAAGAGAATACTCGAATCACTGTCATACAGTACACGCAGCGCGTACAGGCGCGTATACACAGGTCGCGCTAGGATCACACTTCAGGAGGCACGCTCTCGAAGGGGTGAAAATCGAGAAAGAGGGTAGAGAGAAAGGGACAGGGAACGAGGAGACGCACGCGCCCTCACGGCGTGCACGAAATTGACTGATTCTATGCCAGGATGCAATTTCACGTGTATACCTAAATACGAAATTCGGATAGAAACTGTTTCAGTTCATTGCGTTCATCTTTAACCTCCTAAGTTTACATTGTCATTCGTTTTCTAACCGTTATTGACTTCTCTCTAGTGCTTACCAGATACGACCAATCAAATTTTTAGAATTTGACGATTATCGGTTAAGTAGTGGGGGAAACGTTCTCGTCTCTACAAATCAGAAGTTTCGTTTATTTACATTCGAATTAATACTATGTCCATTCTATGTGTATCTTGTTAGCTAAATAGAAAAAGTAGATTTTCCATTAATAGATTGTTTCGAGAAAATTCTTTCGAGTTGTTGCATTAATAGTGATAAATAATGAAAATTACTAATC